AAACCTGTGCAAACTAAAGTTGGTGGGTTTTCCCCAGCCCTGTACCTGCTCTCTAAATAAGAATACTGCTTCATCTTTGGAACTTAACTCAGTATTTCCAGAAAGTGCTATTGAGATAGCTGCTATGTTGGTCAACATACCAGGCATTGAACCAGGGACCTGGAGGTACACATAATGCACACTGACCAGTGGGTTATATAATGCCAATGCCAATGATTATCTGTGGCTAGGATACTATTAACTGTGGGGCAGGAAAGCAATCATAGCAGCTTTCTTTATTAGTTTATGTGGCTGTAGTATCCAAAGAAAGGGTGAATGTCACTAGTCGGTAATGGAAGTTATCCCCAGGTCTCGATTAGGGATTAAAGTCTATCATTCCAAGAGTTTTGTCTGCATTCGAAAGACAAATAGCAAATAATATACAGTATTTGACCTTGGTACAGTAGGTGATAATACCCATGTCGTACAGAGAGAGGTAAGGAGAGAAGAGATCTGTCATGTGAAGCTATGAGCCAGATCCTGAGAGGTGCTGATGTCAGAGGAAGTTGCAAGTGCTCAGCAACTCTCAGAATTTTGTCCACTGGAAATTGTGGAACAAGACAGAGGAAAAAAAGTATAAAACAGTGTTTCACTGTGTAGCGTAAAGGCCACATGTTTAACAAACTATAGCAGGAGACCAAAGAGGCCGTTGAAGGGAAAAGTAATGTGTAAATGAGAATCTGCTTTAAAAAAAGAAAAAAATAAGTGGGGGGCTAGGAACTCAAATTATCTTATCATGCAAAGAGTAACTTCCAGATGACAGAAGCTTAATATATTGTAGCTCCTACGGTCTCAGCTGGGAAAAGACTCCTTTTTGGTTCACATTCTACAGAGCTCAACCAATAGACCACCTATTTGAACTAAGGCTGCACCCACCTAGAGCTCAGCCAGATCTCTCCTCTCCTTGGCTCTCTCTCTTTCTCTCTGTTACAACATGGGTATTGACACGTACTGTAGTAAGGTCAAGTGTTGTGTATTACCTACAGAGAGACCAATGAAAGGCATACATCTGCCATGTAGCTAGGTATATTTTAGTGTTTAGCAGACGCAATGGCTTGTCTCCTAATTTAGTAGAACTAACACATTCTTTGTCAAATTCATCTTTGGAGTGACTCTAGGGAAGTCAGTAGAGTTACTCCGGGAAGGAAATTGTCCGTCTACTTGTTTGATTTTTATAGGCTCTTGTTGTGAATATAAATGACTTACATTCATTCTGTGTCCTCTTGTATCTTGCTTGCAGAACAATAATGAACTGAAAAACACATCGGACTGTATGTAATTTTGCATACCTCTTGTGTCCATTACTATTTTGCCAGTATCCTTTCCATCTTTCCTTTTGACCCAGGAATTTAATTCCATTAACGGAAGTTAACAAATAAGATTTGCAACAAAACTCAACTGTAGTTATTCTGAGATGAATATGTAGAAGTGCAGTTGTTTGACAACCACTGTTCTTATAGTCTAGAGAGCTAAACATTTTGGAAAAGGGACTAGGAAAGCCATCTGGGGACCATTATTTTTGTTTCACTTACCAAGGAAAAGATTGAACAATAACAGTAAAACTGGTGTTATTGTGTATTGTTGGGGAACAGCCTACAGGCCAAGGTCACTCCTTGCATAAAAATTTTTTAATGAGCAATTTTCCACTGTCATGCTTTACATTGCATAAAATATCTTGAAAATATTATAGCAGGACTAGTAAGCACAGTAGAGTGGTGTGGGGATTCCTTATGAAAGGGAATGTATCTGGAGACAAGGATCTGGCTTGTCATGTTAATATAATATTGCGACAACAGGCAATAAATTGAGATGCATATGGGAAATACTGTCCGCTTGCCCTGTTTTATCAAGGATTTGCAGCAGTTTTCAGATGTGGAGTTCCTTATAAGGACACAAGTATGTGAATTTGTGTGCTCATATCAGTGCTTAGTTATGTAAATGCCCATGCTGGTCTCCTACTGTAAGTTCTAATTTCAGCATCCCATTTCTGGGTTTGTGCATTGAAGACCAGTTTACAGTTTTAAACGTGTGGCATGGATTGCTACATAGTTGAAATACACTTACTTTTGTATGGGTCAGACCCATATTGCACGTGTGAGGATAGGAAGGGTCTGTACCAATGTGCGTTTGAGTATTTTACATCCTGTAAGTGAGGTTTAGAGGACACAGGACAGGCAGTTGAGAGTGTATTCCAAAATTCATGACAATCAGCAACTCCTCCCCACCAGGATATTGTATATCCTGATAGTGAGGGAACAAAGAACATTGCTGGAGAAGAGTCATAACACAATGCTGTGAAGGGAGGTAAGAAGGAGAGGGAGTAGAGACAGACTATGTGTACAAGCCACATGTATTCATGACTACTTGACTGGCTTTATAGAGGTAAAGGCTGGTGCCTTATCCACACATGCTCTTCATCTCAGCTCCATGGAAGGACATTCCACAGTACTCAGGAAGTTTCGGGATCATGTAGGTCCTGGCAGCCAGTAAATCTGTTTCAGGTCCTCACAGTTTTGCTAATGCTGGCACCCTGTCCAGACCACTGGGGTACTATCAAAAGCTTTAGTTTCAAGAAAGTTTCTTCTGAAAGAACTGGTTTATCATGTCATTGCATAATGAGGACGATAACCATAGAACAAATCCTCATGAAATATTCATGGCTAACATTTGCTGAGCATGTACAGTTGATAGCTATACATTTTTTTATATCTTGGCTGCTTTAGGTTTCTTGATTTAATGTTAAAAAACAACAGTGTGGTTTAGGTGTGTGGTCAGTATTATTATACATGAGTACAATTCTTTATTTTGAAGCCAAAGTATGCCTATCTGCTGCCTTACACTGGGGAAAAAGAATGATTTAAATTATTTACACCAACCAACTTGCATTCTAACTCCAGCTATGGAATGTAGTCACTGACCTTAAAAACAAAATCACAAGTCTCCCGCTTTTGCTTTCTTCTGTCAACATCATAGATTGCCTGATGGGAAGCTCAGATCACCTCGCTACAGGCAGAAATGAGCCCGCGCGTGTACACACACACACACACACACACACACACACACACGGCAGCTCTAACATTTTACTGACCTGCTCAATTCAACATTATTATTGAAACATTTCATGACAAAAGGGGGATACAAACTCTTTGATCTTGCTCCTCTGTGACAATATAGAGCAAAATAGGTTTGTTATAGTCAGTCTGAGTTCTAGTCCTTCCTGACAAGAGGAACCCATAGCAATAGGCGCTGGAATAATTTGTATAGTGGGGATGCTGAGAGCCATTGAACCAAACTGTAAACCCTGTATGTGATGGAAACCACTGCAAGCCAGGAGGTGCTGCAGCCTCCCCTGCACCCTAGTTCCAGCACCTATGCCCATAGCCCTTTTTTCATCCAAGGCTATGTCTACACTACGAGATAGAAGTGTGATTCCCTCGCTCATGTACACATATTTGTGCTAGCTGTCTTCGAACTAGCATGAGTATAAATTACACTCTAGCCTCAGTAGCACAGGTAGAGGCAGCAGAAGCACAGCTGAGTGCTGCTGCATACAACCCACCTGAAACCGGTAGGTGCCTGCTCGGCAGGGCTCAGCGTTGCAAAAGCAGCTGTTCTGCTGTTCATTCTCACACTAGCTCTGTGAGAGCCAGCACAAGTTATGTGTACATGAGCAGAGGAATCACTTCCCTATCTCGTAGTGTAGATGTAGCCCAAGGCTCATGGTTTTCTAAAGAGCCAACAAAGTCCTGGCTGAGCAGCATAAAATTAGCTGCTAAGATCATCTTTCTTATCTGTCACTCTTACCATCTCAAACCTTTCTTTGAGTCCATCTTCTGACACTGCCTTTTCCAATGCATCAAATGCAATACATTTGTCCCTACTTTGGAGGCCCTAGAACACTGGAGTTCTGGTCTATGACGCAGGCCCCTGGGTGCTGTGGTAACACTACTAATAATAATTAATAATAATTAATATAATATAAATCTCTCCCATTTTATCTGTTCCTGTATCATATTGTCACCTCATACACTGCCTTCCATGCCATCCCTTTCACACAGAACATCCTCCCTGAAGATCCTCCCTGAACCATAAAGCCACTACCTTGCCCTCCTTCAAGTCCCACCTCAATCCTCATTTCAAATGTAATGCTAGCAAATTGATTTTGGAGACAGAGACTACATGCTACTATGTGTTTTTATGGTGCCACTGTGGGGAGAGCAATTTTCGTGCATTTCCCATGGACATCCTTGATTGCCATGTGGATCAAAAAAGTGGCTTCTTTTGCTACATAAGGCCCCAGTTATTGATGGTGGACACCAACCCACACTGGCTAGGGCTTGCATCTCACCCACATTAAAACTGATTCCTGCACTGAAATTTGTACCATGCAGGTTGCTTACATGTTATTAGTTTCTGTTATATGTTGCCATGAATTGCACATAACATTTGGCATTGTATCTATTTCTCCTTTCCTTTGTTTCTCTTGTGTTTTTAGATTGTAAACTCTTTGTGGCCGGGGCTGCCTCTTCCTCTGGGTTTGTATGGCGCCCAGTACAGCGGGGACCAAATTCTGACTATTACTTATGGGTGCTATAAAATAATAATACATAAATGAATGAATAAATAAATATCTGACCATGACTTAAACAAAAAACTGGGTGAGAAAAGTCTAATCCCTTTTTACATCTATTGCCTGCTTGAATGAATCCAACTAGAAAGACTTATTACAGATATTTTAAAATCAAACACAAAGTTATTGGGCTCATTACAGGAGTAACTGGATGAAGTTCTATGGTCTGTGTTCTACACGGGGGTCAGACTTAGATGATCTAATGGTCCCTCCAGGTCTTTAAATCTATGAATTTATGAAAATCATTTCCACCCTTCTCTCCATTATGCTTTTTCCTCTAATATTTTTTCCTAGTTGGTAAGAATTCATCTGTCATCTCTCTATGTTCCAGATCAGGGGACTGTACAGAAAGTTGTTGTCCTACCCACTAACTCTTCTGCAAGTGGAGAGCTCATTTTAGAAGAACTGGAGGTTTTTCAGGTTTGTCTTGCTCCCCCTTTCATTCCTCCAACATGTATGTTCACACAAACACTTTGGTCTAAAGCAAGGGTGACTAGCACTTGATAAAAGATCAAATAAATTAGTAGAATGTCAGCTTGATGCCCTCCAACTGAAGGAAGTAGGAATAAGGTGGTGTCTAGTGTACTATGGAGTGTAAATGGGCTTAAATCTTTTTTTCTGCATTCAAATGCCTTGTTTTTCTTATGTTGTCATCCTGGCTCAAAGGATTTTGATAATCACATTTTTTAAGAGGTCATGTTATACTGGCTGCCAGCAGGAGACTTCTATCATTGGCATCACATATTGAGGCAGCCGCCATTTGCAGCTGGAATCTCAGTTTTTCTTTTCTTTCTTTTTTTTTTTTACTTCTTTGATTATACGATAAGCTTTCTGATTATGAGCCACAGATTTGAAGCAAACTGGTGTTGTTTTTACTTTGCTCAAGTTCTTTAAAGCCAGATGTCACTGGAGTCAAAAAGCCTTAGGCCTAAATCACCCTAAGCTGAAAAGAGGCATAAACAATTAATGGCAAAAACAATATAAGAGTCTCTGTCAATCATTCTAGCCGCCTGTTAGAACAATAAGGAACTGTTCATCCAACTGGTGAAAGCTCTTTGAAATTTGCGAATGGACTGCCATTTACCAGGTAGACTTAGGGCAAGTGATGCGAATCAAGGCTGAGCTTCTCTGTACCCAGAACAGCTCAGCCTGTTGTGCAGAGGGACTGGGCAGCCCGCTTGCTATGGTGCAGCTAACTTGCTGTGTGGGCAGGTGTGGAAGGGGCAAGCTCCATCTCCTCCCAGCCCTCTTTGGGCACACCAAGGAAGCATACCCCCTTCTCCCCTAGAATCATAGAATATCAGGGTTGGAAGGGACCTCAGGAGGTCATCTAGGCCAACCCCCTGCTCAAAGCAGGACCAATCCCCTGTGGACAGAGGCCCTCCCTTGTGCAAGCCATACAAGGGACTGCCATCTCTGCACAACCTCCTCCTCTGCACACCTTCATACATGCCTGTTCCAACCCATGTTCCCCAGTTGCTTTGTACCCCAGGATGAGTTCCTTGTGAATTTAAATGGTCTTGTTATGCCTTGTGTGGAAAACTGAGCCTCCTTTTTTCAAAAAGTGCACATGAATAATATTTTATGGGACTTCTTTCATCAGAAATATTGTTCATTCCATTTAGAGCAGAGGAAGCTAGGCAGGGAAAGCAAGGGCTCATGGGAAGTCTGTACCAAAGCCTGGGAGAGAACCCAGGGTCATGACTTTCAGTCCCCTGCTTGGTCTTCTCCTCATTACAGTCTGAGCCCTCAAGATCATACTAGCATAAGCTCAGGGCTCAAAACATATGATAGTTGTGCTGGGGCTTTACTAATGACTCTCAAAAACAGAAGGGACAAGGGTAGCAGAGGCTTAGCGTAAGTAAAGGCCTATCCTAAGCAAAGCATGCAGTAGTGCTGTCCAGTATTTTCTTTTTGAAAAGTAGCTCTGAGAGGGAAAGTGGAATCTGAGGCCCAAAGTGGCATTTGACAGATCGCAGTGAGAAAGACGGCTGGAGCAAAGCCATTTAATCTCGTTTCCATGCAAGACCCAAGAGACAGAGCCCCAGGACAGCACTGCAGACACAAATCGGGGACATTGTGATCGACTTCAGTGTTTGTGAAAATGAGACACTGATAGAACTGTTCAAAGCAAGGAGGGAATAGGCACTGTATGCTTCCCACACACTGACCTCTGCAAATTTACTACCCATTAGACGTGAACTGGCAGCAACACCTTATTAATCTGGCCATTTATCCCTTGCAGCTATGTCAGTATGACTCATTTCCCACTTACTAAACTTTTACTGCTCCAGTCCTGAGCCCCAACATCTGCCAATGCGCTTATCTTCACCTCAGGTATTTATATGCCCCCCACTACTGTAGCATCTGAACACCCTATAATCTTTACTGTATCTGTCCTCACAGTATCTCTGTGAGGTAGGGAAGTACTATTATCTCCCATTTTACAGATGGGAAACTGAGGCCCAGAAAAACTAAGCGACTTGCCCAAGGTCAAACAGGAAGCTTCTGATGGAACATGGAATTGAACTCAGATTTCCCAGCTCCCAAGTATTCAGTCCTGAAGTGTTACAACCCCACAGCTCCAATTCTGAGCAACTTCCAATTTCTGCAAATCCCCTTGCAATTCCAGCCCTGGGCCTCCTCGCAGCTCTGCTGGTGTGGCACACTCTAATCCTGACCTACCACAATGGCATCCATCTCTTGTGATTACTATAGTAAATCCTTGATCCCCAAAATAATGATTGCCATTACTGTTGCCATCACCGACACCATTAATTTTGATGAGAATAATGGATTGTTTCATTGGTTTAATACAGTGGATGTAATAACTCCAAAGGGAGTTCTTTAACATTCAGTTTGACACAGATAATAAATGATACTGAAAACTACATACAGTAGTGCGCAGTGTCCACTGAGTGCACTGAGCAAAAACAAAAATTCAGTAACACAACACATCATTTGTAATGTTGGCATTTCTTGTTGATAATCTAAAAACATGTGTTGGACAGTAACCAAAGTGTACGCATTGTAGATACAGTGTGGAAGAAATATGAATTCTTCTTGTCCGGATCATGTGCTAATTACGTATGAGCTGTTACATGATTCCTGCATGCTGTCACCTTCCAAGAACAAAGGCTGTGCCTTCCAAAGAGAGAGAGAGTGATGGTTTGCAAACACATACTGCCTATCTGTAGTAGTGAGTCAGCTCTTAAGAGCAGTTCAGACAGAAGTGTGAGAACTTGTTAATGTGTCTGAGTCAAGTCCAGAGGTTCATGTAGCCAATATATTTACTGACTCAAACTTTGTGTTTATGTCATGTTTGTTGAGTTGTGGCAAAAGATGATTAGGTGTGAATGACATCCCCTCAAGAGTCTGGAAAAGAATGGTTTATCTAGAAATGACTGTGTTACAAAAGTTTAATGTCATGACATAATAAATAAAAGATGGCATATATATGTGATTTGTCTTTCAGAATAATGCTCCCATAACAACAATGAAGATTTCATCTAAAAAGGTAAAGAAAAGTGGAACACTCATTCAGTGGTTATTATCTGAGGACAACATTAACTTAAGGTCCTAAAAAGGCTAACTAGGATGCACCATACTACATACAGCCACACAGATCTTCAGTGTAGCACCTTTGACTCCCAATTTGCACTGGCTAATGATCTGTCCCAGCACCATTAGGACAAAATCCACTCATGCATTGTTCAATATTGGTTATTTTCAATTGATAAAAAGTGTCAACAGTCCAATTAGGGAACAAAAAAATTACCATATAACCAATCACATCACAATCCATAGACTGAAGTTATTTGTCTAAATTATTCATTCAGCGCTTGGGGAGTGTAGGAATGGTAGTATGGGGCCTATAATGAGGTTATGTCTGTCAAGCTAATTCATAATGGCTATTTTGACATGAATCATTAATATGGTGATGGTGATCATAATAGTTGTGTGACTGCACAACCAAAATAAAAGGTAGCTAAAATTCTGTAGTCAAACAATGTAAATTTACTGAATTGTGCCCAAGACTTTTCAGAATTATTAATTAATTAATTACTATTTATGAAATTAAACTCAATGAGATTTGCCAGTGTTATGAGAGAGAGGGACTCAGGTCACCACAGTTCAGGTATGCTCATATCCAGGGTTTATTTCCACTTTAAGAAATGCTATTTAACTGACTTTTGGTTAGAACCAGTCATTTTGCTCCAGATTCTGATGGTTTCACTCACCTTGAATGATCCTTACTCCATGAGTAGTCTCATTGACTCCAGTGGCCCCATTGGCCTGGAGTAAGGTTCTATTTAAGGTAAGATTCTCAGAATCTGGTCCATAGTGACCTCTAAGTTTTGTGTTTATGGAATCTATGCCCTGGAGAAATCCAACTAGAATCTTTGCACAATATTTCTTAAGGAGACTGTATGCAGAGAAGTTACTGAGGTCAAAGGCTTGATTCAATAATCCTCACTAAGGACCAAGTCCTCAAATCTGAACTGTATTAACGCAGACCTGCTGCAGCAGGACAAAATAAATGAGACTCAATGTCCAAAAAACCATTAGCATTCTCCATAGCATTTTAAGTATTTTCTAACAGGAGATGGTAATGTTATAGGCATATTAACCTAGGAGATTTCTATTTATTTTGGCTTTGAACCCTTTAGTGGCTCACCTCTTGGTTTTTAGTTAATTCCAAAACGAATTGAAGGCTTTATGCATATGTTAACTAAGCTCCTGGGTGAAGCTGCTCCTCTAGGCTCCACATCTGAAATAAATGTTTCATAGACTCATAGACTTTAAGGTCAGAAGGGACCATTATGATCATCTAGTCTGACCTCCTGCACAACGCAGGCCACAGAATCTCACCCACCCACTCCTGTGACAAACCCCTAACCTATGCCTGAGTTATTGAAGTCCTCAAATCGTGGTTTCCATTGCCTTCAACAGCAACAGTTATATGTGAGCTCGGATGAAGGGATCACGCAGGTATCTTTGCATCGCTGCCATATCTATGGAACAGCCTGTGCTGACTGCTGCCTAGCTAGAGATCCTTACTGCGCTTGGGATGGCAATTCCTGCTCCAGGTTCTACCCAACAGGGAAGAGGTGAGGAGTCTGATGAGATTTGCAAGAAAAATACAAGTCAGGGGTTTACTTCCATATGTAGTCATGGGTCATGTAATGTGATAGCAGAAGGGGATTGTTTTTTGTTGTTGTTGTTGTTGCTGGCTTCTTTAAAAATAATACTGAAATACCTGTTGTTTTTGGCATTGCACGCTGACCAAAACTATCTGCTAAAGAGATCACTTTTTATATTAAAAGCAATATATTGTGAAAGATAGATTTCATTCTAATTTTAATGCAACAAGGGCCTAATCCTCCTCTGGTATACAATATGTGCACCAATTTTAATGGAGTTACACTGAGGTAATGCTGATGTGGGAATAGAATCAGAATCCAATTATGCCTTTGCCTTTGTTTAAAACTGCTGTGGATGTAACTATCATGGTAATCCCTTTCATGCAGCATAATATCTGAGAGTGTGTCTGGTGCATTAAATCTTCATATTCTGTGTTTCTCCTCACTGAAAAGGACTATTTATAGGGAAACAAGTTGGTCTGGAATTTTTCAGAGAGACATTTTTCATCAGAAAACACTGATTTGTTGACACCAAAACTATTTATAGAGCTGGGTCTGTTTCGACAAATCTCTTGACTTGAAAAATGTTGGAATAATAAAGTTTGGAAATTGTCAAAATATTCCATTTCAATATTTTTGAAACAAACCAAAACCAAAATAATTTATTCTGGTTAAAAATGTACACTTATTAGACAAAAAAAAGGTTAAAAAAATAAAAAAGTTGAAATCAAAACAAAACATTTACAAATTACTGAAACAAAAGGTTTCGATTGACATGAACCGATTTTTACAAATTTTTCAATTTGCAAACATTTTTGAGCTTTTGACTTTTCAACCCCATTCAGGATGGTAAATATTTTCTAACTCTCAAAAATATTCACAGGACAAGAAGACTCCCACCGTGCTCTGGGAAACAGACCAATATAGGCAAATTTCATTTCCATATCATACCCACTAGATTTGGGATTTTCAACATGAAGTTCATTAAAGCAGACATAGAAAGCAATTTTTCTTTAATTTGCAACAGAAGGTCTCTAGCGCTCACTGAGTTAATGGCACAAACCATACTTTTTATGCAAAATAGCAATCTCGCTCCACTTCTCTGGTGAAATATTTAATAGCAGAAGGCTGTAGTGAGGTCTCATATTACTGGGGCTTCAGTGCTTGTACAAATGACTACAGAATATCTAATGAATATTGTGTGAAATATTATCAAACTAAACTTTTCATTACAAGTGGGTTCTAGCCTGGCCTGGCCTGTGCAGGAGCAAAAGGGGAATGAGACCCACTTCCCCTGTGTAACCTCCCTGCATCACAGTTGTAGATGCAAGGAAGAGCCCGGGGACTGTGTGCATGGTACTTCTCCCTTTGCAGGTATCTGGGGAGCTGACAGAGGGGGATGGGAAATGTGTGGAGCCTAGGCTCCATCTCCCAGTGGACCAGCCAGTTGATCAGGTGCCAGTAGTCGATTACTAAAATCTGGGAGCAAAAAAGGGAACAGAGACAATTTCTTTGCTGGACTTCTCCTGGGTTAGGGCAGCTACTGGCCACGCCTTGCACGGGATTAACTCATAAAGCACAAGTTAGTCCTGAATGAACAAAGTATATTTTATGGTGCAGGTACCTTGCTTTTTTTTTTGTAGTAGTAGTAGTAGTATTTGTTTACAATTTGCAAAGTTCAGCATTTGACCTCTGGTCTTCACGACAGATTCTTTGGGATACCAAGCAAAGCCCTGGATGGGAGGATGGGGAATGGTCAGGGTGCTGGCTCCAGCTCTCTGATTCTTAGCCCACCTGAAGCCAACACAACTTAAACTGTTGAGAGGTATAACAGAGTGGAAACTCAAGCCCAACATATATAATTTCCAGTTGACCTCTTGCCATTTCCATCATGTATATCCATGTTATTTCCATTGGGTTTTATACTGCTGCTAACATTTTGTTTGTAATGTGCTTCTTATAGCAGACCAAAATAAACACCAAACACAGTATGGAAAACAATCTGTTTTTCATATGCTAAGGAAATGAGTTGTTTCTTTATCTAAAGAAACAGCTTGTGCTGGAGAAAACATCAGTGATTCGAGCCAAATCCCCAAGTCTAGACCGTAGTATCTTTCTACGGTCAATCTTTCTCTCGCCACCTCTCTGCCTGCTGTGTGTCATCCCACACAGCATAACCTCAAAACACCTGAGTTTTTCCTTATGTCCTGAAAACACCCACAAACACATCCTCTGCAAATAAACATTTCTACTTCTTATTTCTGGATAAATAGTAAACTGTCAGGATAAGGTCTCTTGATTAGGTTAGTGGGGTGTGGGAGCAGCTTCTGAAAGACCACGGCAAATTATGGTTTACCTAGATATTTTCCTACTCTGGTGTTCACTATTTTCTCTCTCATTTCATCTCTCATCTCATTTTCTCTCATATCGTTCAGGCCATGTTATAGTGCTGCAGCATTTTTAATATTGAGTATTACATGTAAAGGAGGACAACAAATCCTCAGCCACATAACACTTGCCTAGTTTCAGGTTTTGCTGCAAATTCTGAAGTCAGGCAGAGAGACAGAGAGACATCCACCAAATTTTGTGTTGGGCTGAGAGGCATGAATTCATGTGGAGAAAAATAGTTATAATAGGATAAAGCATGACCACCTGATGATCCCAGAGCACTTCACAAACATTAATGACTTAAAATTCTCCATATCCCCTTAAGGCAGAGCAATATTACTCATCCTATATGACAGATGGGGAAACCAAGTCACAGAGAGATTCTGGCACACATTTCCATACCAATTGCCTAGAGCAGGAGGTAAATCCATAGTTAGGCACCAAAATAAATAGTGTGATTTTCTGAGATGCAGAGCAATCTCAACTTCACCAGTGAGAACTAATGACAGGCGTGGGTGTTCAGTACCTCTGGTAATCAGATTACTTAGGCAAGTTGGAAACATTGGCCTAAGTAACCTATCTAAAGTCAAATAGTGAGTAATTGATGAGGAGCAGTCATTGGTCCTACAAGACTGCCCTGGCCTCCAAAAGGAACTGACAACATTTGTATGAACCCCTGTATGTGAAACCTCTGAGCTTTATGTTGCTCCACTGTACAACAGAGACTGTTGGAAGGACATACTGCTTGATAGTTAAGAATGGATGAACCAGTTTGGATACAATACAAACCAGTTGAAACCTTTCTCAGAAACCTGAATACAACTCATCTTCTTTGAGGTTCAGAAGAGTCTGTTCTTTTCATGAATAGGGTCAATCTTAGCACCCAGCTCTGCTCCCCTTGACTTCAGTGGGAAAACTTCCATTGATTTAAATAGGACCAAGGTCTGGGCCTTATATGCATGCCAATTGCAAAACATGGAATTGTTGACAGTAAGTCATGACCACTGATACTAATATATAATTTGGTGAATAGTTTTACAGTGTGGCTATTTTAGAGTCATAGTTTGTGCTTCCCAAATATTACAGGCGGAGTCGTAGACAAGATGTGAGACATGGAAATCCTATGACTCAGTGCCGAGGATTTAACTTGAAAGGTACTGTAACTGAAAGATGATCATACTGTTAAAGATCACTTGAACTTTCCTTCATGTGACTCATCCTTCAGGTCAACCATGTGGTTTACTGGTAAAGCAGCAAAAAAGCACAGTCATGTTCCAAACCTGAGAGGTTTTTTTTCCTTAACATCCTTTCCTTGCATTTTACATGAAGTGTTGCCTTTGTATGATAACATGGCATGAGATATTATAAAGTGAGAGTCCAGTAGCACTGACTTGAGTCAGCTATAGGGAAATCATGGACTGCTCTAGTTCCCCACACACTTCTGCCCATGTCCTGTAAACCCACCTGTTCCAATCTTGTGCCTGATGATTATGCTGAACTGTAAAGTCGTTTGGGTCTAGATTGTGCTTTTGGGCATAGCCCTGAGCAAGGGGTGGTGTGTAAGCTGCGCCCCCTCGTCCCCCCCACACCCCGGAATAGCCTCAGGGCGCACTGTGACTTGGACACCACTCTGAGTCACAATTCTTCCCCTTTCCCTCTTTGCACTGAGGGACGAGTACATTATTTCATCCCTTTTCATGAAGCATTTTACACCCCAATGTGCACCAGACCATCTACACTGCCCAATGAGTTGAGGAAGTGGAGCTAAGGCTCCTTCCACTTCCAATTCCAAGCAAGGCCAAACAAGGGTGATACCTGTAATTTAGGCCCAGATCCTCAAAAGACGACTAACTCCCATTGACTTCAAAGGGAGTTAGGTGCCTAAATACCTTTGAGGACCGGTGCCTTACTCCATCTTACTTCCCTGCATGGCTGAGTAAGGGCTGTGACAGTCTAGTGCTTTGTAATCCACACAAATTGAGATTAGGGGATCAAGAACATTTTCACCTGCAATTTTAATCCTGTTTTGAACTCTTGTCCATTTCACTCTGTGCCATCAGTTGTAAAGTTGATGTCTTTTGCTGGGATATGTCAATTTGTCAAAAACAAAACTTTTCATAGAAACATATCTAGTTTCAATGCAACCTTCATCAGGAAGGTTTCTCAGGAAAAGAGAGTGAGAGATCCCAAAATAGCCAATTAACCTGGGAGTAAAGATAACCAGTGTGAAGTCCTTACTCTGAATTAGACAGAGCAGAGGCTTGTCTGGGGGAGGGATAGCTCAGTGGTTTGAGCATTCGCCTGCTAAACCCAGGGTTGTGAGTTCAATCCTTGAGGGGGCCACTTAGGGATCTGGGGCAAAATCAGTACTTGGTCCTGCTAGTGAAGGCAGGGGGCTGGACTCAATGACCTTTCAAGGTCCCTTCCAGTTCTAGGAGATAGGATATCTCCATTTAAAAAAAACATGGGTCTCCTACAGCTTGAATGAGTGCTCTAACCACTGAGCTATTGACTAATCTTAATTAGGGTGTTTCACTCTCTCTTTTCAAGGAAGTTTTGGTGAGAGTGGGGAAGAGAAGAGCTAAGGTATAATAGGTGGCCCTTCTCCCACTTTTTCCAGTGTAATAAAAGGTAATAAAGAAACCATAATTTAGACTCAACATATAATTTATATTTTAAGCCATTTTATGGCAAACTAATACACTGAGAAGAAAAAAACATCGGACAACCACCAAAAAGACAAAAGAGCTGATGTGAGTAAAATGTATTAGCAAATGTATAATACAATTTTGAAACTGAGGCATAAAGCATGCCATGTTTCATGCCTCAACATGCTTTAACATGTGAGGCATTAACATTTTTCAACACAGTGCTACATTTAAATATAGCATTGAGCACCAATAGGTTTGTATGGCCACTCTACATATAGATATTCTATATATTCTGTAAAGGCTTATAGCATTACCAAATTATTGTTAGCTCTTGGGGCTGTTATGAAAAAGCATTTGTTTTCTTTCTCTCTCTCTTTCAAAGCGCACATAACAAGTAAAAATAATATGCAATAGATAAAAGTTTAGCGAAAGGATGGAAGCATGTAGATACTACAGTGCTATAGAAAACTGTAAAATCTGTAGAAAATGTAGACAGATCGACTCTCATTCTGTATGATGTATTCCTATATGACTCAATCCTAAAGTACATCTATAAAACTCACTTTGACCCCAGTCCTGCAGTAAGCTCCATGCAGGCACAAAGGCCTACTAATTGCCAAATTAGGACCTTTGAATGCCAAGTACTTCAGGATTGCTTCCATAGCATTTACAATATTATTACTGTTGTTTTTACAGAATCCAAAGTGTGCTAGACACTTTACAGAACAACTAGAAAGCAAAGGTTCCTTGCCCAACTAGCTTAGAATCCAATTTTAGAAGTGACTCTATGACTGAGGGTAAGAAATAGGAGAAGGGGGATAGAATGAGGAAAGACAGGGTGAGAGCCGTATGATGATGCAATTATTTGACTTAGGCATCTATGTCTAGGTGGTTCAATTGACAGTATTTATTTTTAACCATTACTGTTTTCTCAAAAATAGAACTCACATCTTATGTAATGTTAGAAAAATTAAGCCTGGGCCAATATTATTATTTGAGCAAACTAATAAAAAAACTAAACACTTGATGTTGGTAACAGACAATCGCTCATCTATAAAGAGTGTGAAGTAGCACAATAAATCTAGGTGATGATATAAACTCAACATATGCCCAAGTATTGCTAGAGTGTTAGAAATCAATTGAAAGCCTTTCCAAGGAGAAGACTGGCATCATCTCCTGTTTCCTGGTCTCAGTCTGATCAATGCTTTTCATTGGACTTTAGGTTTAGAGCTAAGTCCTGTCCTACCTCTATAAGTAGCTGCACCAAGTGGGTGGGGGTGGAGTGACGCTACATGATGGCTAAAGGGTGACTGAAGAGCATCTTGATGCTGCTTTGAAAAAGAAGCTGTTTCTGGCCATGTTTAGCCCCCACCTCACCTCAAAATGCACATTCAGGGAACAGCTACAGGCCTAACCACATCCTTGGAGTAGCAGGCTGTATCTTTTTGATGCTGGGGCATTGACAGGCATGCTAAATAGCTCATCCTTCTTTAAACTCATAGACTTTAAGGTCAGAAGGGACCATCATGATCATCTAGTCTGACCTCCTGCACATTACAGGCTGCAGAACCTCACCCATCCACTCCTGTAATAGACCCCTAGCCTCTGGCTGAGTTACTGAAGTCCTCCAATCATGGTTTAAAGACTTCAAGTCACAGAGAATCCACTGTTTACACTAGTTTAAACCTGTAAGTGACTGTGCCCCATGCTACAGAGGTGGGTGAAACCCCCCAAAGTTTCAGCCAATCTGACCCATGGGAAAATTCCTTCCTGACTCCAAATATGGTGATCAATTACACCCTGAGCATGTGGGCAAGACCTGCCAGGCAGATACCTGGGAAAGAATTCTCTGTAGTAACTCAGGGCCCTCCCCATCTAGTGTCCCGTCTCCAGATGTTGGGGATTTTTGCTACTGGCAGTCGCTGATGGGCCACAGAGAGCGCTAGGATGATGCCCTGGCCTGCTGCTGCTGCCTGAGAGCACCGGGTAGAAGAAGTTCCCTCTGCCCTTTTATTATTCCTAGGCTGCACCAGGCAGGATTTGACCCAGGATTTGCTAAGTGACCCACAAGCAGGTGCCCTAATTTCTCAGAACAGTCTGTGCCCAGAGCTGAAATATTTGCAGTTTGATTTGGCCTGAAGTTTCTCCAAACTTAATTCCTTTTCTTTTATAGATTTTTGCCCCAAATTACAGATTCCTGGATGTCTTCAGTCTAGCGAGTCTGAGCCGGGGTGTGACTCTGCTAGGTTAAGGAGCCTTGGTTGCCAGTTTTGCTGACGTGTAAATGTTTGCTTTCCAAGTCAGAATCAGGCATCAGTAGTACAATAGTCTTATCTGCCCCCTCTTGCTTCCTAGCGTACAGAAATGCGGCAGAAGTCATTCAGTACGGAGTGAAAAACAACACCACCTTTCTTGAGTGCACCCCTAAATCTCCCCAGGCGTCCATTAAATGGCTCTTACAGAAAGACAATGACCGAAGGAAAGAGGTGAGTAATGCAGCTCAGCACCACAGATCAATCGGGGGTGGGGGGGCAGGGGAGTGCATTCAATCAGGGGCTTCAGACAGTCTAGTTATGATGAAGCAGGTTAGGAAAGTTGCATATTTTAGTGTTTTGGCATGAGGAGGGACAGCTCGCATTATAAATTATAGCTGAGATTTTCAAAGGAACTTAAGAGAGTTAGACACTTCACTCCAGCTGACTTTTAATGGGAATTGGGCACCTAATTCCCTTAGAAAATTCCAGCCTACACCTATATTCAAAACGCTAAGTTGAAAATCTTTCCTCTACAACAAGTTGATTGTAATGGGAATATTTGCTCAGTCAGCACATGCTGTTGATCTGAGGAAACAGGCATAAAAGAAACAAGATGTGTAAAATCAAGGAGCTAGGTCTGGTTACAGCAGCACCTTTGTGCAATGGAGAAGATAAAAGAGAGAGCGAGGGGAAATGGGGCAGGTTTCCTTAGCAAGAAATTAGCCTGAGCTAAAAACACTTTAGGCTACAAGCATTTTCCCCACTGTGGTGTAATCACATTTTCCATTACTGCACGCTCCAAGGCTCTCAAGTTTCAGCACTCGCACATACAGTATAATGCTTTCCTTGAGTGATACAAAAAGGAAACATCATTTCCATTTCCAATCTGAGGCAGATATTCTTTGGAGGAAAAAAAAGGAACTTCTGTTGTAAGAGTAAGACGGTAACATGGTGCAGGTGACAGAATATAAATAATGGAAAGTGTTACACTCACTCATGTCAAGCCACCCTGTGAAATGAGAGAGAGGACTAATAAGGCGTTTATTGAGTAAAACATGCTGTTTCTCAGGTATACTCAGAAAAGGCTCAAACCTTGTGCTAGCAACGTAGATGACAATTCTTTATTTCTTACTCAAGAAAAACATACACTGTAGCTGAGTGCCCTTTTGTCTTTCTGTTTTGTAATTGTGTCGGAATAACACATGCTGGAATTAGTAATGGATGAACCATGAAAGGATCAGAGGGTTGTTTCTTTTCAGCTAAGCTGAATCTTTCTGAATTCTAAAACCCCTTTGCTTGAGGAACTGGGCTGGAAATTTCACGAGAATAGACTTACTCAAAATAGATTTCTGCAAAGCCTCATGCCATGTGAGTTGCCGCAACATAGAAATATTTAATAAGAACACCATCATCGACTGTCATAGGCATGAAACAAAAACTAAATAGTGTGCTGTATAAATTTCTTCCAAACTCTGCAAAACTGAATACAGATCGACATCCATCCTCCAGACACTTTTACACCATTGTATAGAATCTACACCAGATATATAATTCTTTATAGAATTGCCCTCTGGTGCCAATACCCAATTAAAGCATTTACCCAAAAGCCACCCAGTGTCCAGTGAGACATCAACCACCAGTCTTACGGACTCAATCTTCCTTTCAGCAGATGTTAGCAGAACACTCTGATGTTAGCAGGCAGGCTCCCCAGGTCTGTAATGCTGGCAGAGAAAAGTCTCTCTACCCCCAGGGGTCTACCCTCTTTAGAGGTGGTTGAAAATCCTGCCTTGTGTGGCTCCTCCCAACAGCCTAGGTTGGTCTCTGTGGCTTGATCTTCTCAAATGTTAATAGTAACTGTTGAAACTCATAATAAAGATAAAATTAAAAAAAAACTCTCCACAGAACAAGCTTCCCATATGTGAAAAAGAGTCACCAGAAGATATTACATGCGTCTTGTATAATTAATTGGCCCATCATACTGTATAAGAAGTTTATTTTGCCTTTCATCCTTGTAGGTCAAACTTAATGAAAGGATCATATCGACTGAGCAAGGACTCTTGATTCGCTCTGTCCAGGATACTGACAGAGGACTCTACCATTGCATTGCGACAGAGAACAGCTTCAAGCAAACCATAGCAAAGATCAACTTCAAAGTGTTAGATTCAGATATGGTGGCCTTCATGACTGACAAGTGGTCCCCCTGGACCTGGGCCAGCTCTGTACGAGCACTGCAGTTCCACCCAAAGGACTTCATTGGAGCTTTCAGCCATTCAGAAATGCAGATGATTAACCAATACTGCAAAGACAGCAGACAGCAAGGACAGCGCGGAGAAGAATCCCAGAAGATGAGAGGGGACTATGGCAAGTTAAAGGCCCTGATTAACAGCAGGAAAAGTAGGAACAGAAGGAATCAATTACCAGGATCTTAATTTTTTCATTTGGAGCCTCAGATGTGTTTGTTCTCCCTGAAGAGGGCTCTTGTTTGTCTGTTGAGAGCATATTAAAATAAAAATTAGTAAAGCATGCCTGAGAAACATTCTTCTCCCAGTAAAATGCAGTGTAACTTAATTACAGAAAATATAAAACCAGCATTTTCTTTGTGAGATGCTCACTGGCACTGTATAGGTCCCTATTGTAGCAGCAAAACTGAATATGTACCTTAACCCATTTGATATCCTGATATTTACTTGCAGTTGAAGAGAAAGAAAGAAAGAAAATCAGTGCATTAATTTGCAGTTTTGGAATTGAGCAGAACAGAAGGGGAGAGAGATAATTTGGGTTAAGATGGCTGTTCAAATGAGGGTGATGTCCAGGGGTTTCTTGCACTGCATTTAAGTCTATGAGTTTCTAATTGTTTACGGTTCAATGTTGGGTTTACAATTTTCATTCACTGTACAAGTCATGTGAATGCATGAAGCTAAGAAGCTGGCAAAAGTAAAGTACAGTAGAAGTGGATAGTACAGAAAAAAAAACCCTCAAGGTCAAATTAAGGTAAAAGTAGGACAAAAAGAGAAAAATGGTTTTATACTTCAGGAAACACTAATTATTGTTCATAATATGAGCTGTAATACATTCTGAGACTTAATTTACAAATATCTCTGCTCATATTGACATCAAATAGCATATTGGCCCTATAACACTTCATAGCTTTCTAAGCAACATGAGGACTCTGATTATAGGTATCAAGTATCGGGGGTACCCGTGTTAGTCTGTATCTACAAAAACAACAAGGAGTCTGGTGGCACCTTAAAGACTAACAGATTTATTTGGGCATAAGCTTTCGTGGGTAAAAACCTCACTTCTTCAGATGCAGTAACTTTCACTCTATGCATCTGAAGAAGTGAGGTTTAAATAAATCTGTTAGTCTTAAGGTGCCACCAGACTCCTTGTTGTTTCTGATTATAGGTAACATTTTCAAAAGTATATTAGTCACTTAGGTGCTTTTGAAAATGTTACCTTAATGTGAGCAGAATGTGGATGTCTGGTACAACATTTCCTCAAATACTAAAACCACAGATTTCTTTTATAATGTCCCAAATGATAAAGGTTAGAGCTGGTTGAAAGATGTGGAGAAAATGTTTGAAAGTTTCAAAAGCAGTATCTTTTCAAAGTTTTCCAAGAGAGCTGACTAAAAAATGTTCAGAAAACTGCTTTCCAAAATTATTTGATTTCAAAAATGTCCAGTTTTCAATTTTTTTCCTTTCTTTCATCCTTTTCTCCTTTTTTATTAACCCATGTGCTATTTGTTGCTGAAAAGGGGGAAACAAGGGAATGGTTTAGAATGGGGCAAAAAAGAAAATTGAAAAAACTGTTTTTTGTCGTCCCCCCCCCCCAAAAAAGGAACATTTCAAACAAGATTTTTGGTGACGTTTTCATTTTCAAAAGCCATTTTTCAGCAAAAAACATTTTTGTTAAAAAAAAATCTTCACCAGCTCATGATTTGTAACATGCCAAATAGAACTGGTTGAAAACTTGGTGAATGTCTTTCTGTCCATCCATCCAGCTTGATACAAAAATGTCACCATTTTCCAACCATCTGTAATGCAAAATATCAGGGGCAAATCCTGCTAGCCTTACATATGTGAGAAGTTTCCTGGGGTCCACTAAGACTACTCACATAAGACAGTTATTAGCAACAGCTAGCACCACAGAATATCACAGGTAATGCAATGACATTTTGCGACTGTCTGCAGCAAAATAAGCTAATTAAAGATATTTTATATTCAAACAAAATAACATAATTTTATGATGAACTGAGGAAAAATAACTTCTAAACCCAGAGGCGGTTTTCAAAAAAAAATGCCAGCAGTTCTAATAAAATGATGCCTTCAAACAAAGTATCTATATCCAGAGGTTCTCAACCTGTGGGTCAGGACCCCAAAGTGGGTTGCAACCCTGTTTTAAATGGGTCACCAGGGCTAGAGATAGACTTGCTGCGGCCCGGGGCCAAAGCCGAAGCCCGAGCCACACCGCCCGGGGCCAAAGCCGAAGCCTGAAGGCTTCCGCCCTGGGTGGCAGGGCTCAGGTTATAGGCCCCCCGCCTGGGGCTGAAGCCCTTGGGCTTCAGCTTTGCCCCCCACAACCTGGGGCAGTGGGGCTCAGGCAGGCTCAGGCTTCAGTCTCTCCTCCTGGGATCATGTAGTAATTTTTGTTGTCAGAAGGACGTCGCAGTGCAATGAAGTTTGAGAACCCCTTATTCTATCCATTATTATTTTAACTTTATTTTAAAACAGTTTGTGAAAGCTTTTTGAGCATGATTCTTAGCCCACTTCCGTTGGTGTATATCGGGAGTAAGTCTACTGAAGTGAGTAGAATTACTCAAGATTTACACTAGTGTGATGAAGAATCTGTCACAATTGCATTATTCTGGTTTCAAACTGATGCGCTGGCAGTCAGGCGTGTTACCATTTTGCTGTTCAGTGACGGAACAGCTGGGAAATATGCCTTGATTCAGCAGATCACGGAAGCACTGGCTTATGTCCCATTGTCATCAGTGGGACCACTCATAATTAACTGCAAGTTTAGCACACGCTGAATTGTTTCGCTTAAAGGGGGATGGGATGGCTCATGTGCTTAAATCTGAGCCTGTATTTAAGTGCTTTGCTGAATCAAGGCCTAAATGCATATTAGTGAACTGTGTATAGTGGCCTGAACCAAAGCCCATGGGAACCAATAGGAAGATTCCCATTGATTTAATTGAGCTTTGGATCAGGCCTCAAGAGCTGGCAGGGTAGATTCAACAAAGATTAAATGAAAATGAGTAAATGAAAATCAGTTTTTGCCAGGTGTCTTGCAGTGGAGAAAATATCCATTTGGTAGGATGGGAGACTTTCTGAAGATTCAATACTTAAGTTACAAACCAAAAAGTTGTTTTGGGCTCCACAAAACAAAACTACCTCCTAGACTGACATTAGTTCATATACTCTGTATGCTGCACTTGCTCTTCCAATGTTATCCAGGAGATTCACTGCACAGTTAGTATAACATTAATGTCTGTTGTGAGGCTCATAATTGATTCCAGATGAAATATGGCATTTAATAAGCGTTTAAGGGTACGATTTATTCTTTGAGCGGTTGACTACAGTGATATTTTAATAGGCCCCCATCAGGCCTCAAAAATGATAGTTACATTGTTTATAACTGAATATTGGGAATATGGGATTCAGTTAAAACAATCCGCATAGCTCTGAGTTTCGTATGATTATAAAATAATATTTTTAAAGCTGCTTCACGTACAATTCTTATGGTATGACTGTTTAAGGGATTATACTTAAACTAACATTTTTCTGCTGCATGAAAACTTAAGTGTATACATAACAAACTTCTGTCAATGTGTAGCCAGTCCAGCCTTCCATGCTTTAGCAGGTCTCCTCTGTGTATAATGTAGGTAGGGACCAGATTCTCAGCAGGTGTAAATAGGTGTAATTTCCTTGATTTCCATAGAACTACAGGGATCTATACCTGCTGAGGATCTGGCGCTAAATGTACAGGCTAGACTTACTACAAGTTTTTCTTTTTAAAGTAGACCCCGGTCCCCATTTGTATGTAACATGGACATTTAAGATTGTAATATTGTTTGTGCTATTTAATAACTTCCTATTTTGAGGATTACTGAATAATGTATATAATTTTATTCCCTTTTTTAAAGAAACACCTTCTAGATATAACTTTGCCAAATGTAAAGATAAGTTCTCTGTCAAGAACTCCATCAGTACTTTTTTTGCTGTTTTTATTTTGTGTAGTTTGTAAAGTTTGCTGAAATCCTGATTTAACAATGTGTTCTTTGAATCCTCAGTACTGTACATAAACGTGTTTCATTCAGAAAACCCTCTTTTTAAGAAGTGTAGGTATGTGTATAGTTCCTAGCATGATGAAACTGTCATTACAGTGAATATTCATTATATCCTGTGAAAGAAAGAACAAAATGTAGTTTAACACAGTGCTATTTAATTGGAATTATTATTTGCCTGACAAAATAAAGTGTGTTGAAACCACTTAAGGATTTGTTTTGCGTTTCCCTTTGTAGATCTTTGCTAACAACCCAAAAACTTTCGTACTTATCAGAAGAACAGCTGTCCCGTACATCTTTGCAACAAAACCACGCAAAACATGCTGGTTTCAAGATTTGTAATAAGTCTTTTTTGCCCTCCCTTGCTCACATTGAGTTTAATATTATTGGTTTCTTAGAAAAGTCTGGAACTTATCTAAGAGCAAGATTGAAGCTCTAGGAATGAGCATCATAAAGGATCTGTGTACCCCATCATGATCGGGCTGAAATTTTTCATTGACCATGATTTTGCAGCAAATTGGTTTTTGACAGAAAATATAATTTAGCAGGAAATTTCTGTTTTGAAATTTTCAAAATTTCCAATTTTTTAACAAAAAGGATTTAGAAAGGGAGGGGAATGGGGAGTTAGTTTTTTCCCCTCCGTTTTTGTTTCATTGAAAAAACTGAAAAAAATTCAGTGGAAATTTTCAAATGAAACATTCTTGTTTGGAATTTTTGCACCAATTATATAACATTTTTTCCAGCAGCTCTAAACGAGGGACACAAGGACAGAACGACAACTCAGAGTCACAATTCCTTCAAATCTCCTGCCCTGTTGCTGGGTGAAGTAATTTGCCCCTCCCCTGTACCACACAATTTTCTTCTCCATGGCACAATGTGCTATCTCAGCTGTGGTGGTGGCCAAACACCTCTGCCCACTCTTTGCTGCCTTGATGTGGGAGCAGTAGAGGACCTACAGAGCCTGCTTTCCCTCTTGGGAGCTGCCAAGAAAGCAAGGGAAGGGGCTTTACTCCACATTACTTGGCTGCAAAGGGCTGGGACACAGTCTAAGAGACTATTCATGTCAGTGAGGTACCACTGAACTCGAGTGACAGTGGCAGAATGAAAGCAAAATAACCAGCCCATGTTGGTTGAAAGGCTCAATAAATTGTGAGTAAACTTGAACCAAGTTTTGAGGGAGGTGAGTTCAGGTTTGAGGGAATGTGAACCTCGGTGTGATGTTTTCTCAGGGTGCCCAGGAGTCTCCTTGCTACCCCTGTGCCTCCAACTAGAAGAAGCACTGCTGGTGCTTACCTGGGTGTCAGCTCCTTGATACCACCAGTCTGTTAGTTACCCAGTCTCCTCAGGGCAATGCCAGCTCTCATTATGCTTTGCAGGTTAACAGTAGGTGCCCCCCAATCTCTGAGCCTCTGTCACTGGCTACTCACAGAAACACCAGGTTTGCTGTCCCCTATATACCTCACAGCACCGACATATAATTATAGTGAAAACAACCATTAGTTTATTACCAAATATGAAGATTTAAGAAATAGCGAGTAAGGATAATGATTGAGACAGAAAGGTTACCTATAATACAAAATCCATACACACCTTCTCGAGACTCAACTTAACTTTAACAGGCTAACGATCTGTCTAAAAGCCGGCTTATCTCACCTAAATGGCCTTCACAGTGCTTCCAAACAGGGTGGGTTGGATGCCATTTTCATGACTGTAATTGCATTGCACTTCCTTGGGTAAAGGATAAAGAGTAGTCCTTTTGCCATCTCCTTATATCCCCCCAAATCCATTGTTTGTCCACATAGTCAGGATGATGCCCCCGCTCCCCAGGGCTTATTCCCTGGTATGCTGAGGTCACATCCTCATGTTGATTTTGTATGCAGACTGATCCTCCATTGTGTTGGCTTACAATGCTTAATTTCCATGTGAACCAAGGCAGACAGGTGAGTACACAACCTTTGTCTGCCAGAACCTGTTTGTCAA